CTAAAATATTATATTTCTTGATTTATTAATATTTATTTGACTCAAAAATATGTTCTAAACACGCGTAAAATGTTTTAATATCTACATCTAGTATTCAATACAAATTAATATTTGTATAAAAATAAAATTGAAAAATTCATGGCTATTCGCTATGTTTTGTGACCTAGGTCTAAGTGGTAATAATAAAAACAATCATTAACTTGGTTGATATACATATTTATCCATAATATGAACTTTAAGCTGTTCAAGTTAGGTATTTCGYTTGTTAACCATTAACTTCTTAACGTTCTTAAAATCAACTTACGATAACTCGATTTAATTTATTTTTCATTAACAATGAAGATCACAGTTAATTTTTATTAAATAGGCATGTTTCAATTAATTAAGTTAAATAAGAAAACAATTTACAAGTTAAAATTTAAATAACTTAAATAATGCCAATGTATTATCTAATGTATGCCGATATGAAAATAAAAAAAACACTTTATGAGTTAATATTTTGAAGTGACAAAATAATTGGTATCAAAATCATAATAATAAATCATAACAACAGAATATTATAATCGTTTAATAGTACAGTACTTTTATTGTGGCTTTTATTTCCTCCGTCTTCTCATTTATAACTCATACATAATATTATTATAATAAAATAATAATGCACTACTATAATTTTGTGTGTAGGTATGCRTATTACATGTATATATTATATTATATTGGTTTGGTGTGTACGTAATGTATTTGTATTTTATGTCGAAACCGTTTACTGAATCGAGGAAAGCATATTATATATATATATATACGATATATATATATATAATTTCAATTCAACGGGACCAGAAAGGGGTAAGAATATTGCTGCTCTCAGCACGATGGCGATGGGTGGTTTCATTTCCATGATGAGCAAAAAGCGTCGCCGAGCGCAATCCTCCGCCGCGATAGCGTCTGTAATTTATATCCGATACGGTTAAATGACTGTCATGCCCCGCCGTCGTTCCTTTATCTTTCGAATGTGACATATATACCTTTGTATAAATAGTGTATATACTTTTTCATTTATGTATACATATACCATCAAACATTTCGAAATATAGTTTAAACTATAATAATATAGTACGATTKCTCGCTAAGACACAAAGATAGCTCTCGTCGGTTGCGACAGTCCAATCAATTTTATTATAAATAATTATAAATAAATTGCATTGTTATGTACTCAATCACCGCCGTCGAATAGAGTTTGCGTTTTGCTACCCTCACGCCACGTGACAAACGAAGAAGTTCGATATTTTTTTTCCACCGTTCACAGCAGGTATCATCTCGTTTTCGGTGTTAATGTGAAATAGTATTATTGTTTATTCGGGTCCGTTCTAATAATATTTAGACTGTCGCGAGTTTCCGGTTGCGGGTTTCCGTGTCCTTCTCGACATTGCTTTTTTATTGTTAGTCCGTTCGCTATATTATACCTCTTCCATTGCATAAGGCTTTGGTACGATATTATTTTGTCTGGTCCATAATWATATAAAACCACAGATATATAAAACAACTAGATAGCCAAATCAACGAATAAAATTGAAGTCTAGCATCCATATTCGCATATGGGCAAAATACGATTGATTGAMCCATAATATTTTATATTATTCCATGAAATATAATTTAAATATGATTGAAACATGATAATATGGTATGATGATATGATTGCTACTTCTTTAATCGTGGATATCACAGATATATAAAACGGTATCACGTCAATACCGCGAATCCAAAAAAGCGAATATCAAAATAGCGACGGMAAAATAGCTAAGTATAAAATAGCTAAAAGCCATAATAGCGAATGTTCAAAACAGCTAAAGCTTATTATTTTAAAATGATCATTATTATATGTATTTAGTAATACATCAGARATTAGTCATAAATTAAAAAATTAAAAGATAAAAGATATTATATAATATTTATAATTTATACTTGTAATGATAAATTATAGGATATGCCTTTCAAATAATTTAAAATGTTTCATTCTGTATATTGTTTTTGAATTTCCAAAATTCTTAATGCAGTATTTTGATTTTTTTTTTTTTTTATTGGATTTTCTCCACTTATGTATTGCTCTACTTTCATTTCTGTGTTAGTCTGTTCTATTGTTTGAACCCTTCTATAAGTTTCCAAAATGTTGAGTGACACGATCCAAGTAAATGATTAAAACCACAATTCCAACCTATATAATATGTAAAAATCTATTAAATATAATTAATATAATTTAGATATATTTATTTATAAAAATTAAATATCTTCGACAGAATTATTAGTCTATGGAAAATTTAAAGCATCATAACGATTCTACATTTCCAGAGGAAATGTTGTACCTCGACATCGTTTATGCACAGTTATTCCAAGCCATGTATCTTTAAAGTAGTCCAGTAGTAGTTGAAAACGTTCTTCGTGTTCTATGTAATAATCACTTTCACATAAGTACTCGAAACTTGCTATTACGTCAGATACTGGTACATAAGCWAGTGCTGGTAAAAATCGTATTTGAATACAAAATTCTGCATCAGTTATATATTTTTCGTGGATTGTGGGTATCGATTGTATTTTTCGCCATACATATTGACTTAAGTGAAAGTGACAGCCACGAGAAATTATATTGGGGAAATTTTCTTTAAATGCCAATATCGCACTCTGTTCGGAGTCAGTCATAATAGTCTTAGAATTTAATGGTATATGCGATTTTAGTGTTTTGATTAAATAATAATATGTTGAAATACTTTCAGGTAATAATGCAAAAACTACCGGTATTACAGTACTATATTTCAATACGTGAATAGTGTATATTTGTGTGAATATAGACGGAGTGCTCTTAAATGTACCGTCRGCGAACCAATGTTCAGATTCAGACATTAACTCTAATCCGTCATGTGTACAACATATTTAAATTCTATTTTTTATAGGACCATTAATTTCATAATTATCAAATAACAAAAACTTACTTCCATTGTTTGTTTGTTTATAAATGTCTTGTACTTCTCYTAAATCTTTCAAAGTTAATGGATTAGGCGGAAAGTATTGATTACGTTACCTAGTTCGCTGAATAATTCTTTTAAGATTTGGTACACTTGTGAAACTCCCTTGAATTACATTGGATGATGCCGTTATTACAATATCACTAATAATTTTACTCGGATTATGTTGAGTAGTTAAAGCACTTTTTTTCATTTCTTCAGTTAAATGTTTGACTTCGATTTTAGTTGGATTGAGGACATGTACATGTTGGAATGAAGAATCTTTAATAACCAAACCATTTTTAATATTAATTCGACCACGACATTTTTGAACTTCCGCACATCTCCAGTATGAAACTTCACCATTTTCACAATCTTTCCGATACAAGAACCCATCGTATTTTACGAGTGGTTTATTTTTTTGTGATATTAAATATTCGAAATTTTTAAACGACATAACTGTGAAACTGTATTATACACGAGTTATATAACTATAATACTGTGCGGTTTAACATACACTGTCGCTGTCGAATATTGTGCTCGTATCTAATCCACCTATTTTATTATTATATCTCGTCATAATCTCGCTATATCTCGTCGTAATATATATCTATTGGATAACCCAGCTATAAAACTGATTGTGATTATTTGTATCTWTATAACTATTACTAATAAGGAACATAAATTTAAAATACCTAATATATTTTAGCTGTTTTGACCATTCGGTATTATGGTTTTTAATAGTAATTAAATAATAATAATAATAATAATTAGCTATTTGCCGTCGCTTTTTTGACATTCGCTTTTTTGAATTCACGGTATTGACGGTGACTCGTCATATAATATCTGTGTACTCGTATAAAACGTATTGGCACCTATATTAGTGTATTATATTATTTTATAATTTCTACGCAGYTCTTTCACAGTTTTTCGTGAAATCACGTGTATTTTTAACTCTGGTATAATAAAACAGGGAAAATAACACTGTAACTGACGACACGAGGGATAACCGCGAATTCCCTACCAATCCGCCGCGGGTGTATACTTTTGGTACGTATACTCGTATAGTGCCCGCTGCGAGTTTTCTGGTCTCACCCTAATGCGTGCGTGTGTGCGTGTGTGTGTGGTTTATTGCCCGACTATAAAATAGGGGAGAAAGAAGTGTTTTCGCTCTCTCACTCTGCCCCCCCCCCCGACCACTGTAGTCACCGTTATGACGTTTGCAGGACAGAAACAGACCTATCTTCGTCTCTGTCTTTCTCTTGGCAACCGTGTTGACACTGTCACTCCATCCTGGTCCCTATTTCTCTCTCACCCCACCTCCTCACCGTATTGAAAACCGTCGTCGTCGTATCGAATTCCCATTACGACGCGTGCTCACAATAATCTAATTTCTCCGTATTTTAATGGACCCACTCTCATTCGATTACAACTTACAGTGGCGGCGCGATGTCGATTTAAATGACTTAATTTTATTTTATTTTATTTGAATAAAGTAGAAAAACGAAATGTTTTCAAAATAAAAATATGTTTACACGATTATTGCAGCTATGAGTCTTACTCGCATTTGCTACCTACGTTTGTGTTGTATACATACCTCTTGGTAATATTAATTGGCAGCGTATAATAAAATTAAAACTATCGATGCACTGACTGAATATATTTGATACGATCRAATTATTTGATCAACGACATTTGGGTGGTTAGGGACGAATTTAACTAAAGATTCTGAACTTTAATCAGATACATTATTTAGTGCCTATAATAAATAAAAATGATAATTTATATTATTTATATTATTTTCAGACATTAATTATACAACGCTTGAATAATACATACGTTTTTTATAATAATAACATATAATAATTGGTTTATAAAAAAAAAATATTTCATTTTCGTACCTACGTTAGTTCGAATCAAGGTTTAACAATAATAATCTAAAGTTGATTTACCATTAATTAAAARTCGTTTAATGTTACTAATTAAATTTATTTTGTAATGTTTCAGAGATTGCCGAGTAGTACGAGATCCACAAACGTTAAAATCTAAAGGCTACGGCTTCGTCTCGTTTCTGAAAAAAGCTGTAAGTATACAAAAATTATTTTAATCTTAACTTTTTATTTGATATTAATTAGAAGCCGGAAATAATAAAGTCAGTAAATTGAGACATAATAAAAAGAGGTGATTTTTTTTTTTAACTTATCGCATCGACGAAATGAGACAAAGAGATCTTTTGTCCTATTGGGAACACAATATGAATATTTTTCAAAGGTCTAAAGATAGGTATAGTAAGAATAATCTGGCATAGTTCTTTTTATTTTGTTTTCTCACAACACTTTGTGCTGCTGAAGCAATTTGAATTACCAGCGATCACMGAGTCAGAGTTTTAACAGCACACAACATAATTAATAATAATATAACAAACTCGATTCAATATTCAATAAGATTGATTTATAAAGGAAAAAAAAGACACCTATTTTATTATAAATACCAATTTATTGCCAAATTTAAAATATGCTTCAATAATATTATTATAGTTGTGTGAAAAATTTTAACTAGACATTGTACCTATTCTATATAAAATTGTTATCAAAGTATTAAATTGTCCACCATCGTTGCCGAAAATATCGTTTCTCATCTGTTGTACCCTTAAAACAACAACTATAGTCGTCTGTTAATCGTATTATATTATTTTATATTATAATACTGTTACCTTTTATTATTTTTACTATTGTTGTGGTCGCTGAAATATTCGTTTTTCAAACTCGCTAAATGTTTTGTGTTGTTTTTTTTTTTTATTCTATTTAACTATATAATATACATACGTGATGTGCACGTATAATGTATATACAACGCAATAACATCGCCGTCCGTTTTTGTGGGATAATTTACCATTACCATGACTGGATACATTGTTGAAGCCCATTGTTTTACCGATTTATGTGTTAGAGTATTGCGTGGGATTTTCTTTCTAACTTCCTCTTCGTCACCACCACCACCACCACCACCACTTTCATCCTCAAACGGGGTGTTTCGACTGCTCACGCGATATAGCAAAACGACCGACCGGTCGTCTGCTGCGGCTCATTGTTGAATCGCTGCAGCGTTTTATCCCGACACTCAAACGTGATAAGGAAAATTACTCCGAAAAATAGAACTATTTACGTTCACATACGTATGCACCACCCACACCATCGCGAATCATACGATTTTTTTTCCATGACCATTACCTCCCCCCCTGGTCCCTGGTTGCCCATCAGCCGCGTCGTTGTTTTGCTGGTTACTACGGGAAATTTTGAATTAGGAATTGGAGTTATACTGTTTAAAGTATATATCTGAAAAAAATGTTTTAGCTTTCAAAATTATTTACTAGACGTAGGGGATTTCGCAATATGGYCATGACTGTACAGCGTATAAATTCGCTAAAAACCCTCGGCTTATGTGTTTTGCACTGCAAAGGGAGGAGAAAGATGGAGGGTGGGGATAGAATTACGACTCTCGCTCATGATCCTGKGTGCAAAGTTAAAACCAGATAATTTATACAGATTTTAAAACGCTGCGAGTTATTCATAATTGAGTGAGGGTGACATACCATTACAAAAAATATTATTTATTCCTTATATTACATTATTATTAAACATAATTGTTCGGTTGCCTAACATTGGTATAGTGTACATTAAGTATTATTGTGAATACGACGAATACGTGTGATGGACTTATTGATTCATTAACATATATACAACTWATCACATATAATTTATAGTTGAAAGACTAACGACGTTCAAGTCGAGTTAACACACGTCAATATGTTAACAGATTTTTAGAATTTGAAAATTTTTTACACGCGTGGCACCCAAGATAATATTTTTACATTAGAATTTTATAACAGCTATTTTTAACAGTAAAAATATTCTAAACTTAAATTGTATTTTTTGATTTTTTTATACATTATACATAATCTTATGTACGTGAGTACATCGCCCACTTAAAATTTTTCATCTGACTGGTATATATGTATATATAAGATACCTTATAAAAATATATTGATCATAAAAGGGTATAGATAATACTATCCAAAAAACTTATCTTTAACGTTATTATTTCGTCTTTTATAAATATATGGCGACTGTTTGTAATCTGCGCATAATATAATATGTATGCCATTGATAAAAATCATTTCGAAAACTCAGTACGCCGCGCCAACTCGCAGTTTACAGCGGTCGTCTATCAGTCCATTTATCCGGCTTAGAGTCTGACTTTAGAGAAGGGCGTACACGGTATTGTGATTTCCGGATGTAATTAAGTATTATCCGATATACTGAGTCTAATTGACCGTTTAGCAATCATCCGTCGTATTATGTGGTCACAACCTATCATTTCAGACCTCGATTCACATTATTGTTATCAAATAACAGATCAGCATTACCTAAACTACTGTTCATTAAATTTGTTTTGTTTGATTGTACACTAAGTTTTTAAGGATYATAAAAGTCTTATTCGGATGAATTACAAAAAAAAATTAAATATTATTATTACGGTTTTAAACAATATAGCTGTATAGTATTATAGGTACTAAAACTGCAGATTTTTTTTGGAGTGTCGAGTCATCAACCAAGTTTTAAGTGAACTATAATAGGATTTCACCTAACGCCTTGCCATTAAGTTTGGGAAACAATAATAAAATATAAAATTTATCGTTTTATCATCCCGTCGACCCTYGCGAACCCCCTTACACGACCCGTTTCTTAGTGTTTATGTGCTTTACAATAATAATCGTCGTACAATATTAATATTATACTTATAAGTTATAATATATTATTATTTTTATTTTTATTATTATTATTATGTGTACGGCAATGCAAGATCCGATGCGTACAAAATGAAAAAGCGAGAAAACTCCCCTCCTATTGCGATGTCTTGCACACGACTCATACGATGTGGTTGCCGATCCCATATGTTCCGTGCTCGATCTATAACACTCGTATATATGTCACTTAAACGCGTGTTCCTCCGAGATAAACGCCACCTCCTCTACCGGAGGGCCGGGTCGTCGTCGTCGTCATCGACGGCTTAATGTCGGGTCATGACGAGGGATAAAAGTAATATATTGTATAAGTTTTTGGGTGAGTATATGTGCAATATTATATATACTCGCGGATCTATCGGGTGCGCCGGTCGTCGACTCTTGCCACCCACGTTTACACGCAAAACTGTTGCGCGTCGCTGAGCTCCGACCTTGAAGCTCGCAACAAGAGTCTATAAGAAAAGGAAATACTTACCAATACCCTATATWMTTTCCTCTATCAAGGTAATCATTGAGTGCGTATCATTGTTTTACATAAATGCGCGTAACGTTGCGGCCAAATGCGCAATCGTGTTCGAAATAGAAGCGCCTAGGTCGAGTCGACGTAATAATATATTATACTAATTGGCTACGCGTTTCAATTGACAACTATTAACTATCCGTTTAGTCGAATAATCATACGCGTGTATTGTGAAAATACATTAACTAGATTTAYCGATACCCTCTCGCAACTTTTACWGTATATGCTTAAACGCCTTAAAYTATTGTAACATTTTGTTAATTGATACTAACGAAATACACAATRTTATATTGTCGCTCTAATGTTTTGTAATTTTCCATGTTTAGGTCCTTCAGTTTTAATCTGGTACCTACTTATTGTATATACATTATACGTCGATCCATTAGTTTTACTGCTGAGGTATAAATTGATTTAATTTCCATTACCTATTGTATTTAATTGGCGTATCTTTGAGAGTTTATTTAAAAGACWTTAATTGTAATTTTAATAGCTATTGAACATTTAAACTGTTTGRTGCTTATAGTATATTTTCAAACCTCAATAGTKAAATKTGATTTGGGATACTATAAAAGTAGTAATATTTGTATAATTAGGTTCACAATAGCTAATATTTTGATTGGACCATATTCAGACTATTTAAAATATATAAGCATAATATGATAAAGGCTAATATAGAATCGCATAATCTATTATTTTATTCTTGAAATCATTAATAATATTTTATTCTAACAAACTCGGAGATAAATTAACATTTTAAGCAAAATTAAATTAATATGATGTCATTTTTGTTGTCTGACATCTTTTTTTGAAAACCATTTTAGTTCTATTTTTAGATCGTAATCTACATCATAATATTATACGAATTTACTTATGAGGACGTCTAACACTCATGTGTTGTYTCCGTCTTACAMACGTACGACCTAGCAAATTATCGTTTGCTAGTTTCAATCGGGTATTGTCAGTTTTGATATTAGAGYGAATCCACCTATTATCAAACTTTTAGGTAACAACATTATCTGTGTTCTCTCRTTGGTTTTTTACGATATTTTAATTTTTAAGTGAGTTATGGACATTTTAAAATATTCATAATTTACACGACGTCCTCTTAAATATGATGAATAGAATCTAGACGAAATTCTAMGGTTAATTTATGTAATTAAATCATACTTAGATTATAATATGTCCAAAGAATAATAGGCACTCTATTCTCATTACTTAGAGGTATTAGTTAAGCCGTCGATCTAATAACATTTATAAATTATAAACTAGGTATGTATATTGTATATATTAGCTCGGTTCACTTTATTCTTTTATCTCATAATAAGTTTTCACWTTTTGATCTTGTTAAAGGTTATAATAATATTATGCTATAAGTAAAACGTGATTTTCTCGTGATTCCAATGAGTAAGTTCTGTAAATAAATATAAACTTTTCACCGTAACTCAACGGATATTGAATTACATTGGAAAACGAGCATTTTGCTATTCAGTGTGGTAAAATATATATTATGATATTATAATCGACCTGTAGGTATATAGGTATAATATGTATAACAATCAGCCGCCTAAAAAAAAAAAAAAAAAAATAGAAAAACGCCCTGGAGGACTGTTCAAAAATTTAAACACGTCTACCTATCGTTGATCGGCGGTGGGGTGAGCCTTTTCCCGTTTTCATGCTATTTATATAAATCGAATATCGGACCCAGAGAGTATCGTTTTTTACATGTCATTCAACGAGAACACATTGCCATCGTTAAAKA